TCCAAAATGAAATCTATTGTACACTATTGTAATTCTTTTTCAATTCAATCGTATATTCTAGCGAATTAGTCTATTAGCCATAGGTATATGCGGCTCACCACGGAAATTTACAGAATTATTAAATTTGTTTTGACATGTTGAGAATGTTTTATCGCAACCAGCAAGTATTGAATATTGATTTCCAGCGGAAATTTTATGTGCTGTGAATAATGTAACTATTTGATCTTTATATTCTTTCACAATAGCTTCAAATGTTGAGAATTTTACTATCCCATGTTTATAATATTCATCACTTTCAGTTAAATTCGTGTCTTTAAATTTTTTTTCATCTATTACTTGAGTAACAACGCTCACCTTACTAAATTTTTTTGCATCAATTTTACACTTATCGTCACAAAACTGTGCTCTACACGTAGAAGAATATAGCTCCACTACATTTTGCTCAAGTTTTGCTGACAGTCCCCTAATTTCAACAATGAACCTTCCGTTATTTAGTGTGATTTTGCCAAAAGTTCCTGAGTATAAACTAATTATACCCTGACTTGGATCCTTATAATTCAAGAGAAATATTTCGATATTGGCAAAGTCATATCTTCCAGCAAAAACTTCTTCTTCTTTAATTTCATCGCTGTTTAATATTCCTTCAATTTCTAAACTATCAGTTTTTAAGTTACTATTTAGAAGTATACTACTTGCTGTAAACCCACTTGAGGATTTGTAGATTATACCATCTATGTTTAAATCTTCATCGTGATCAGTAAATCCCATCACTTTTCCATCGGCAAATTTTAATTTCCAGCAGGTAGTAACAGACAATAATTCTTCAGTTAAATGGTTAGTTAACATGATAGCCTCCTTTTTTTACAGTATTTTTGAAATTATGTGAATTTTGTATTTTCTAATTCATCCAAGTGAATGACATTAGCATTAAAAATTGCACTGGGTATTTAGTTTATTTCATAGAAATAGTACTCGAGGTACTTGCACTTCTTTGCCGACTCTCTGTTAATTTCTGAGCATGATCACTGGATACCTCAATGGAGGGTGTCTTAGTACCACCAAGGGATACAACTGTTTCTATACTGGGACTACGAGGTTTTGTTTTTTGTAACTTATCTTCTATCTCTGATTTTCTCGCATTAAGCTCCTTCCATGTGCCAATCATGTGATGTTCAGTACGATCCTTTGCTTCTTCTGATTCTGGCACTTCACCACTTGTGATCACTTTATAGCCATTCTTTATGCCATTCCAACACTCTTTAAATTGCTCTTTCCACAGTGTATAGTGAACATCACTATACTTTTCTTTATTTGCCGTAAATAGTAAAATAGGAATTCTAAATATAGTAGCTGCCATGTTCACTACATTCTTTGTTAGTTCTGCAGAACCACGTAAAACGCGACCGAAGGCTTGTACTACTGGATTCTGTCTATTCATCAACCACTCCCCAATTTTCATAAAAGGAGCAGTTACAACATTAACAAAAATTTTAGGCAAAGTTGTAATAAATATAATGGGAACAGATATAAAAAGACTTTTGGCCAGCTCTAGGTTACCTCTTTCATCAGTAATTGCAAAAGCATGGAGATTTGACGGTCCAGAGTAGCTGGTATATAGCAACTTGCCATTTCTACATTTTTCATCAGGAACTTCCTGACCATTCACCTTCTTGGTTATTACGGAAGAGTTAGTTAGTTTGTATATAGGATCTTTGCCTTGTTTTTGATCTGCATTAATGTTTTCAACTTCAAAAACTGGTATACATGTTTCTAGATCTTTTTCTGAAAAACCAAATAATTTATAAATTTTACTATCTTTGCTGTCAGGCTGTTTACCAACTAAAGTCTCAAGAGTAAAATAACGTTTATTACCATCTTTGTATAGAATATCGTGATATACACCTTTTTCACTTGAATCTTCTTCAACAGCTTGAATAACTAAGGCTAACGGAAAGCTTGATTGTTTTCCTTCCTCATCTTTATTGCCAAATAAAAGCTCATATTTGCTAGGTATAGGATTTCCTCTAGAATCTTTTGCTCTTTGAATTATACCCTTCTTTACAATGTCATGATAATTTTTTGGATATCGACATTGTCTTCCTTCGATGTTTTGTTCATCTTTTATTACATTATGTGTTACTGCCCTTCTCAAATCTATAACATTAGTCCGAGATTTAGATGGAGTAAATAACTTATCTATTCCAAATACAAAACTATTTATTCCTTCTTTCAATCTTCCAAGCATAATATTAA